AAGGCAGAGAACCCCTCTGAGTCGCCACGTCTTCTGCTGACAAATGGGGACCGTGTGCCAGTTCCCTCCTAGGGCTGCTGGGAAGAAACCAGCAGTGAAGAAAACAAGCCGGGGACGATAAGCTCTGAGACTGACACCATGTGCAGTGCAGAGTGAAGAGCCCAGCCGTGCACTGAGAGAGGCCGCTGCTGAATTCCACTGAGCAAATTCTTCAACCTCAGTCTTCCCATCTCACCATGGAATGAACAGCAGCATCCCTCACAAAGGCATGGTGGAATAGAAATACAGTAGCTTCAGTAAACTGTTGTGCATTGTGCCTGGACTTGGTGCATGACACGAATGGAAGGGCGACCTTGGGTTAATAAGTACTCGGTGGAAGACAGACAGGTCTCAAGCTCTCGCTCATTAAATGCTCCTGCTGAGCCTAGGTCGGTCCTGGGTAATTTTATACTCACTTATCCACTGCGATGCCGACTCACAGCAATGCACAGGGAAGAACGGACCCTGTGGGTTTCTGAGACTAGAACGCTTTACGGGAGTAGAAAGCCTCGTCTTTCTCCCAAGGGACAAGCTTGGTGGTTTCGAACTGCCGACCTTGAGGTTCAAAACCCAACAAGTCACCAGTGCACCACCAGGGCTCCAACTATTATTCGCCTCATGTGTCCAGAGGAGGCAACTGCGGCTTCTCAAGGTATCTTCTGCCCAAAGTCACACCACTAGAAGCTTGAGGCCAGGGCTGCTTGGCACAGAAGGCCCAAGTCCCAACCGTATCCATAGGAAGTGACCACTTATGATCAGGAAGGGGTCCTCAAGGTCATCCTGATCAGCCAGCCCACTGCACAGCTGAGGAACTCGAGGCCCAGGGAAGGGAAGGGATTGGGCTAGTCACAGGGCTGGAGTTGATGAAGGCAGACCTCCCGGGGCGCATCTACTCTGTCCTACACTCTATGAGTCGGCATCGACACCATGGCAGTGAGACAGAAAAGCTCCAGAGTCCCACTCCTCCCCCCACCCCTGCCCACTATGTTCTCACCATTCTCTGTTCACCAGACCACAGTCTTGATTCGCCAAGAGACTGTTTGTCCCCTTGACCAGGAGCAGGTGAGATGTGGCTGTGAGCAGGCTGTAAGATCCTACGGAACAGCGAAAGATGATACAGATTTTAAGACACCCCCATGCTGTTACTTCTGCATCCAAGGCAAAGGCAGGTAGAGGGAGACTATGTGTTGCACTAGTGGTTATAACAACCCTGGGGGAGAGAGAAGTGATTATGAACCTCATTTTTCCTTGGAGTAAACTGAGGCAGGGAGAGAGGAACGGGCTCACTCAAGCTCACACAGCTAATTAGTGGGGGAGGCAAGATCCGAGCTCGGAGAGTCGGGCTCTGGAGACCTGGTCCAATGCTGCGTTGAAGCACTGCCTTCCCAGCAGCCTGGGGCCTAGGCAGACTTGTCTGCCAAGAGAATGGAGTCTGTAGGGTCCCAGGACATGGCCACCATCACTCAAAGCAGGGCCCAGCGAGAACAACCAGTGGAAAGACTGCTGCCTGAGCAGCACCACCCAGGGAGATGGGCCCGGAGCTGGGGCTGGCAACCTTGTCTGCCCATGGACCATTAGCCCCCTGCCTCTGTGAAGAAAAGTGTATCCAAGAAACGGCAGGCAAGCAACGAACATGTCCTGCTTTATATGTCTCTTGTAAGCAGTGCACATCTTCGGAGATGGGTGGATGAAAGGCGCCATATAAAATGCAATCAATTATGAATCACCATTACTGAATTAATCACATGTATGATTAATACAGTAATAATAATTAATGGGAGTATGGTCTAGAGATTAGAGCTGAGAACTGGCAGGGAGGAGTCAGGGTGTCTTTTGCAGCCTCTGTCACTGCCTAGAGTGTCACCTTGTAAGGGGGGCAGGGTTGGGCCTGGGTCTTGGGCTCGCTCCCCCTGCACCTGCCACAGGTGCAGAAGGAAGGGCCCCAGGGATGCTTGGAATCCCTCGATGGTCCTGAGCTGGTCCACAGGATCCTACCCTCTACTTCTCTCCTCCCAACTGCTCAAGGTCAAAGGGACAAGGAATGTCTGGAAGAATCACAGTCTTGGTGTGGTGGATGAGAAGGGTGAGCACCCAGCAGGGGCTCGAGCTGGAGCTTAGACTTGGTTTTCATCAGGGTGCGTGGGCATGTCATCTGCCTGTCCTTTTGTCTGTCTGTGTCAGGGTTTCTCTTGTTCTCGGAAATTCCTCAAAGGACGTAAACCTCATCTGTTAGCTCTCACTGCAAAGCCAGTAGGTTAGTTTTGCGTGTGCATCCTGATAACTGCCTATGGCTCAAAAGAGAGGACGACCCTCGTCAAGACAGACTGACTCGGCGACAGCACAGATGACCTCCAACATGAGAACAATTGTGCAGGTGGTGCAGTGTGCCCTTCTGTGGTGCGTTGGGTGGCTATGGGTCAGGCCAACGCTACAGTATCCAACAACAGCAACCATCACATGAGTCCTCTAGCCCCCCTTCACTGCAAAGAAATGGAGCCATGCGGAGGGGGGCTTCAAAGAGTCCACGGGAAAATCCCATTATTTTTTTAATTCCATTTTCTGTGAACTTTTTGAAGCCCCTCGAAAAGATATTATATCCAGACACACGAAGATATGAACCAGGAGGATGAAGGGGAAATACATGCTTTCTTATATACAGTATGCATTGTATACAGAGAGAAAGAGAGAGAGAGATTCTTTTTAAAAAACCCTACATGGAATAAAATGAGATGCATTGTTCTGCAGATGCTTTTTGATAGTAAATTCCACATACATAATTCAAATTAAAACCATGCAGCAGAGCCCAAATCCCACCAAGGAAGACGGTGATTAGGCGGCTGGTGAGAGGGGAGCCAGAGCTTCTTTGGGGGCAATTCGTTAACACTTTACTGCCCCGGTGCTCAGCTTCTTTTCATTCCCAGGGAAAGGTCATTTGTCATCAGGTACCTTAATGACGTTTAAAAATGAATGTCCACAGACCACCTGGTCCCTCCAGGGCGGGCCTCCTATTTGTACCTCTGGGAAAATGAGCCCTTCATTGTTGGCTCACTGCTGCCATCTCCTCAAGGCTGTCAACACGGGGACCACCTGCCGGAGTAAACCGCCTCATGGTGCAGATGGAGAAACTGAGGCCAAGAACAGAGAAATGACAGCCACTACCACCCCCACCCCTCCCAGGGACTGAGCCCAATCAACCCTCTATCCTGACCCACAGCTCACTCACTGCCTTTCCGCTGGCTGGTCATGTTCAGCATCTGGAAATAGGGTCGACCAGAAGACACCTTCCTGAACAAGTCCATCGAACGGCTGTCGGCATCAGCTTGTGGGAGAGACAGGGGTGTCGGAGGAAGGAAGCTGAAGAAGCATCTTCAAAATGATTCTAAATGGCTCATCGCTTTACATATAGATCACTTAAGCCACCCGCCAATAGCAAGGAGGGCCCGTGGCAGGTCCCTACACCATGCTCAAATAAACTACAAAGAAAAGGCCTCCTTTCCAGGTCTGGTTGGCTGTTCATGACAGCATGCAGCCCATGGTGATGATGGAGGAGCAGGCCGGTCCTCAGGGATTGATGGCTCTGCCTGGGGGCGACAGCAGGCTGAGGGCCAAGCCAGGTCATCACTCACCCTCCCCGGGAGCCCCACACTCTGCCCTTCCTCACTGCCTGCAAGGCGCATGTTATCATCCTAAGGCTGCGAGCTGATCTCTTACAGGAGCTTCTTGCTGGATGCTCTGAGACCAGAGCAGGTAACCAAGAGCTAGCATGCATAGCATGCATCTGTGTCCCACCATCCACCAGACAGCTCGAGGTGGGGTGGGAGTGGGGGGGCTCTCTGGTGGGAGGGATCTTGGAGAAGATGCTCCCTGGCCTTATTTTGACCCCCTCCCTCCTTGGAAAAGAAAGGACTCATTCTTGACTTCTCACTGACGGGCAGCTCCTCCCCAGAAGCAGTCTGGGCCTTGGTTCAGGTGAAGCCGAAGCAGCAGGACACTGGCCAGGGACCAGCAAGCCCTGCCTCTGGACCAGAGTCCTTTTTAGATGTGTGACCTTGGGCAAGTTACTTGATCTTGAACATGGGGATTTGTTCAGAGCACTTAAGTCAGTGGATAATGTACGTCCACTGGTTCACATGGAACTTGGCATAAAACAGGTGTCCAATAAATGTTTGATGATTACTGTGGTGGTGGTCGTGGCGGTGGTAATTAAAGCAGGGGACAGGCTCTCATCCTGCACCCTCTACCTGCTTGCTCTTGATATTCTACGTGTGATTCGGCAGAATATTCTCCTCTCAGGGTTGAGCCAGGAGCAGGGGATGGAGAAGGTGGAGGTGAAAGGTGGCTGGGTGGGAGAAATAGTGAGGTGCCCAGCCTTGCTCCTATCTCTCACACCCTCTGTGACCTTGGACCAGTCTCTCTCCCACTCTGTCTGCAAGCCCTTTGTTCTGGATGCATCCAAATGACACTGCTGCCTGAGTGCAGCACTGAGAACCCACCCCAGGGGGGGTCCCCCAGAAAGCCCAGGAGCCAGCCTGGCACCCACTACCAGGGGAGTGGAAAGCCAGGGCTGAACGGCCTTGCCAACCCCACAGTCTCTGCCCTGGCCCCTGCGGGAGCCCTTCCACCTCTCCCTGGCTGCCGGCCAAGGCGGAAGGCCAGAGCCCCTCAGACAGCCCCCTCCCCTGCCCCCCTGCTACTCGCTCCCGGCAGAGCTGGCTGGGCTTCATCAAAAGCAGGGCCCATGAGGGTGGAGGCGGCGGTGTGTCAGCTGGTATTCAGGCTCTGGTTGTGCTCTCAGATCGCTCCCCCTCCCCATCTCCCCAAATCCACCCACCCACCCTTTTACCCACTGCTTGGGGCCTTCTGGTTGGCAGTACTTCGCAGAGGGAGCTAGGGGGACAGGGATGATCCCTGGGCTGCTGAGGGACAGGAGGGACTGACTCACTTGGCCCCCTCCTTGGTTGCCGGTGGGACAGCCCCCACCCCCATGGGCGATGGCACCCAGGCCTGGCCCTTGGGGGTGGGAGGCAGGATGCAGCAGCCTCCGCGACGCCCTCCCCACCGGCGTCTGACCCGAGCCAGCTGAGGATGAGCTCTGCTCGCCGGGACCCGCTAGCCCCCGGGCCGGCGGAGATGTGTAGGCAGCGACCCCTCCCAGAGCAGGCTCGCTCCCGCGGCCTCCCGCTGGGGCCACCCTGGCCGCGAGCCCGCCGGGACGCCCCTGCTGGAGGCCCCCCTCCCGGGGCCGTGGCGCGTCCTCCGAGCCTCGCAGTATTTCCCTCCTGCACCTTTAAGAAGACCGTTGCTCCGTGGTGGGCTGGTGTGTTAAAGCCACACAGAGGAAGTTACGCAGCCCGGATCAGACCGAGAGATAAAAGCCCGGCGGTGATCGTGAGTGATGGCTAGAGGATTTAGCTTCAGCTTTAACTTGGAGCCCGGTGCAGGGGGGCGGTGAAGCGCCCTGCCATCTGGCCGGTGCCGCGCAGGGTTGGGGGACCGGAGGGGGTGGGGATGCCCCAGCGCCCCGACGAGCAGCGGCGGAGCCCACCGGGGCCGGGGGCTGCCCGGCGCCCGAGCGCGGGTCCGCTCCCCGCAGCCCAGGGGGCCCCAAAAGTTTGCACTTGTTAGCGGCG